GAAATGCCTGAAGAACATGGCACTTCTGCTCAGAGTGCAGAAGAAACAGCCAAGAGTCTTGAGGGAGTTGTTAAGATTCAGCGTGAACCGTAGGAGAGCGCACAGCACCTGTTTCTTAGGATACATACCTCCTTGCCCTTGTAGTTCATAAGATGGACCTGGGTTTGACTCATCTTCCCACCCTGCTTAGCATCCAACCCAAGAAGCATCTTAGCAGATGTTCTATACATGCAAACACACCTGGGGACAAGCTCACACACCCCTCCCGGCGACAGCTCCCTTGGCCATACATATGGCAAAGATACGCCGGGGTTAGGCGAAGATGTGTCTTTAAGGATTTTCAGGGTAATTGGCTACTGTGTGAATGGGGTTAAAAATAATCTCATGGCTGGAAGGAAAGAAAAAATAAAAGGCTTTTCTCACAGATAGACTTTAGTGCACTGAACAACACGTATTCTCCAAACTAGTTTTTTTACTTCAACGCCATATTCCACAATTCTGCCAACTCAGTCTTACAAACAAAATGTGAATTTGAAGATTTATAAAATAGCGACTCTCATCTGTAATGAAACCTGAAACCTAAAAGTCTAGGCTAATAGCATTTTAAAAATAAAGCAAAAATAAAGCAAATAAAGCAAATTGTCTGAAATAGAGAGGCTACAACTTCACTACTCTTTCAAAAGTTAAGATTCTCAATTCTTGGCCATGAACATGCCCATCATGTAAGATAGGCACCACAGTCAGAGAAATCATACACTGCAGAAATGTTCTCTTATAAGGAAAATTGCTACCGGGAAACTTTCACCTCAATGCATGATTTTGAATGCTATTCGAATACAAATATTAAAAATAATAACGTAAAGGAAATCCAGCACCAGATTCAGAGAAATAATCCCCTAGGCCCCTGGGAAGGTTTTATAATCTATACAAGGTCTAGAACATTGTTTTCTTTTTAAAATATTTGCTGGCTGGTTCTTTGATTGTATTGTATTTCTTCATAAGCTCCCTGTTTTTATTGCCGTGTCCTCATTTTTCTTCCCTTTATTTTTTTTTCATATTTACACATTTATTTACTATTTTCTCCTCACAAGGTACCTTTCACATATGTTACCTCATTTTATTCTCAGGGGAAACAAGTATTATTGCCTTGGCTTTTTAAAAGTTCTAAGAAAACTGAGGCTTAAAGCACTAATTGACCTGTTAAAGATTTCAAAGTGGAGGAAAGAGAACTTAAATTTAATTTTTCTGATTGCACACTACCATCTCTCAGTGGACACGAGATTTTTTTTCTGTTAACCATTTTTCTTCCTTTCTCTTCCATTCTTCATTCCTTAATGCTGTAGCGCTGTGTGCTTATGCTCAATGACTAGCGTCAGCTCTGACTTCCTCCAGCCGGGAACCTGTCCTGGCGCACATGCCAAATCTCAGAGGAGGTGCCTCTCCTACATGCTCCCATAACACTTCTGCTTCCCAGTGAGAGGAGTCAAGCTTCATGGCTCCTTGAAAACAAGCTATTATGTCTCACTTATTCAACACTGTGATGCCTGCAATGTGTCGGAAATCCAATGGTGCTTCCTGCTCCAAAAAATAAAAACCCACCCCCAAAGAGAGCTTAGATGAGCACATAGAAGAGGCAGCACCTCTGGGACTCAGCATGAGCACCAGGAAAGGTCCCTGGTTAGTGGACATCTGAGTTGACACTAGAGGATAAATAAGAATTCTCCAGCTGGGAAAAAAGAAGAAAGAATTACTCAGTTGAAGGGTAAAGGGGCTGGGAGGACTAAACCAGGTGACAGGGGAAGAAAATAATGAAAACTAACCAAGTAGGAGAAACACAAATACTAAGCTTTTAAGAAAGGAGGCCACCTGCCTATTCAGAACCACTCAGTAATCTAACGAGGTGGCAGTTCCTAAACCTCATCAATAGCAAATCATTTGATGACAGAAATGTTTTGCAAGGCCTAAATAAAGAGGGCTCTAAAAACAATTCTTTCCATGGTTTGACAGTGGGAAAATTCAGATGGTCCTCAATCTGTTTGTAAAGCTGCTGGAGAAGGAACGCTATCTCTCCCTCCAATACTACCATCCCTTCTACCCTAACCTGCCTTGAAAATGGCCTGAACAACACAATCCATCTCCCTCCAACACAAATCCTTTCTTTTATCATGAAGGTAAAGAGAAACTGGTTATAATAGGATTTTCCCATCAGCAATCTCTATCTGAAACCTGTTTCACTATTACATCATTTTAATACAAAATATTTCATACCAAGAGACAGAAATAGAAAATAGCAAACATCCATGCACCCACCATTCAGTTTTATGAAATCGTAACATTTTGTCATATTTAACTTCATGTCTTTTTGATTTTAATAAAACACTATGAACACACTTGGAAGCCTGATTTGTACCTCCTCCCTAATACCGTTTTCTGCCTCCTGGAAATAGACAGTAGCAGGAAGTTGATGTACTCTTTTTAAAAGGACAGGAATATAAAGAATATACAGAATTATTTAGTGGTTTCTTAAATATTACATTAACTATTCATTTTACAATACAGCAGTGGAGATGCTCCAATAAACCTTGCTAAAACAGGGCAGCAGAGGCTTAATGAATTAGAACAAGAACCTTTGTAAATACAATTTGAACTCACACATAAGTAGGGAAATCTGGAGGTACAAAAAAATAGACATAAATTAATAGTAGGTGAACACTCAACTTCCAGCTGGGGGAATGATAACTGAGACTCGTACATACAGCCAACACTGTGTATTTCACCCTATTTTTCTGTTATCTTTGTCAACACTTACAAATGTTAGGTATGTAGGTTTTCACATATGAAAAATGACAATCAATAACTCACAGTGGTTTTCATTTGCTTTTCCCTTGTTACTAATAAGGGTGAACATCTTTTCCTATGTTCATTAGTCATTCTAGTTACACCATTTGTCACCTTCACCAAATGTCTACCCATTTCTTAGGTTGATTTTTTGCTTGTTTATTTGGAGGCATTCTTTATATATGCTGAATGCTTCTTTGACATACCACTATGCTCCTATTAGAATGTCTAAAATTAAAATGATTGACCAGGAGCGCCTGGGTGACTCAGTCAATTATGTGTCTGACTCTTGATTTCGGCTCAAGTCATGGACTCAGGGTCATGAGATCAAGTCCTACCTCAGACTCCACACTGAGCATGGAGCCTGCTTAAGATTCTCTCTCCCTCTCCCTCTGCCCCTACTCACCTCTCTCTCTCTCCCCACAAAAAATAAATAAATAAAAATAAAATAAAATGATTGAACATACTAAGTGCTGTTGAAGACATAGAGCAACTGGAATTTTCATACACTATTGAAAGGAATGTAAAATGGCACAACCACATCAGCTAATAGTTCAGTGGCTTCCTAGAAAGTTAAAATACAACTACCATATGGTGTAGCCATTCCACTCTTAGGTGTTTACCAAAGCAAAATAAAAGCATGTGTTCTTACAAGGACTTGTGCATGAATGTGCATAACTTTACTTGTAATAGTGAAACACTGGAAATGATCCAAATGTCTATCAATGGGTAGATGAATAAACAAATATGAATGTGTAGATGAATAAATAAACTATGGAATGGAATACCACTGAGCAATAAAAAGAAATGAACTACTGATACACACTACAATATGGATGGATCTTAAAATAAGTATAGTAAGCCCCACCCCCCCCAAAAATAGGGTACATATCATAGGATTCCATTTATAAAAATCTAGAAGGTATAAACTAATCAATAGCAACAGAAGGTAGATCACTGATGTCCTGGGATAAGGAACTGTAAGGAAGAGCAGGAAGGAGAGATTACCAAGGAACAGAAAGAAACTTTTTTGGGTGATAGATATGTTCATTATCTTGATTCTGCTGGTGGTTTCATAGGTGCATACATATGTCAAAACTCATAAAAGTGTGTACATATGTTCAGTTTACTGAATGTCAACTTAGCAGCTTGTACATTTTAAATATGTATCGCTTATTTTGTATCAATTATAACTCAATAAAGCTGTTCCTTAAAAAATTTTGTAAGAATAGTAGGAGAATAAAAGAGAATCCTAACCATGCTAGGCTTCTGTCTTCTAAACATCCTGTAAAAAACAGGTCACGATTGGAGCGCCTGGATGGCTCAGTCAGTTAAGCGTCTGCCTTCAGAACATATCACGATCCCAGGGTACCGGGATCGAACCCCACATCAGGCTCCTTGCTCAGCCGGGAGCCTGCTTCTCCCTCTCCCTCTGCCTGCCGCTTCCCCTGATTGTGCTCTCTCTCTCTCTCTCTCTGTCAGATAAGTAATTAAATCTTTAATAAATAAAATAAATTAAAAAATAAAATACAGGTCACAATTTAAAAAAAAAAAATCCCCTAACCTTCTCTTTACATGTTTCTAAAAATAAGCAAAATACTGTCTCAATAAATTAGAAATAGTGAAGGGGGTGGGGGGCATTACAGACAAAAAATTATCCTGGAGATATAAGGGAGAGTAAATGACTAAAGTGAGAATCCAGGTCTTAAAAAGATTGTTCTGCCTCCAGGAAATTCACTGTTAATATGTTTGCTATTGATAACAGTAATCAGTATGCCAACATACAAAATTTTCCACTGGGCCAACTCACATGGTTGAGAATCTTGCCCCATCAATCCAAGTACTATATTAATGATAATGCAGCAATAAAATAATACTAATCAGCCAATAGACTTTCTCTCCACAATCCTAATCCATTATCATTCTTATCAAAGGTTGTAATCATTTTTCTTTCTCAAGCTAATTCCATTTTCATGTCCTCCTGCTCCTCAAGTGAAATGAACCAGCAAATCCATAAGTTCTACCTCACGGAGGATGAAAAACACTAAGCCACAACTTAGACTAAAAAAATCTAGGAACACCTAGACTTAATGACTTCAAGAAAGATGGTATTTGTTAAATATTTAATCCCCCAAAGAAAGACAAAGTCATTTGATACCTACCATCTCCAAAAATATGTGTCACAAGTTTGGTAAGTGTTTGCTTAAGGTCAAACTCAATGAGCTTCATGGCCTCCATGGTATGTGTCTCTTGTTTATAGGCAGAGCGAGAACTCTGTTCAAAGAGCTGTAGGCTTTCTCCATCCTTCATGCCAGCAAATAACTGTAAACCAAGAGAAATAACATGCATAAATAAAAATAGTATTCTGGCCAGCCTACATGAAAAAACATAGTGTGGGAATAAAATTCGTTAAGTCTTCTAGTCAATGAACATACTAAAAGTAACATTCATTTACTACTGACTTTGAACAAAGCACTGTGCTACATGTAATGGAGAGTCTTTAGGGAATTAAAAGACGCTGTTCTGATCTTTTCTCATCTCTTCATTTTACTTTGGCTTAACTTACAGTCATTTCCTCAAAAGAGACATTATCTTCAATGCTAGTGCAAATATCAGTGAATCAGGCTTTCAGACTCTAAAATTATATTCCTGACCATCCTACAGAGTCCTTACAGTGTGACCTGAGACTATGTAAGAAAGTATAATCCAAGAATTAAATTCTGTAAAGTTCATGAAGGCAGGAAGCATGTTGGACTTTGCTTAACCTTGTTATCTCCAAAGCCCAGGACAGGACCTGAAACATATTTTTGCCATTTACTATCGGAGTGAACCAGGAAAAGTATTATGGTAGATAAGTTTCAGGTAATGATTTGTAAAGTAGATATAATAACACTAAATTAAGAGACTTTGTGATAATTAAATAAATATATGAAAAGCATAGCACATTGCAATGGCTAAATAATTTTGATTATCATCACAATCATCATTATTAATCACACCTGTTATTAGTCATGAGCTGTTTTACGACTAAAATAAAGTGTCCCCATCTTTAACAACAAAGTAGATCTTCACCTTCTAGGAGAGGACTCAAGATGGATAACTGAGCAAATGAATCTATCATTCTTTCCACCTAATGTCCAAAGAAATAAAATTTTTTAAATGTTTTAACAAAAAAAAGTCAACTGCTATTTCCAGTAATATTGGGCTGAATAATTAGAACCTCATAAATCTACTAGAATATACAAAAATTCTTAAAAGCATAGAACTAACACAATAGAGAGGAATAACTTAAAACTGTACAAGAAAGCACAAAACCAGAAAGAAAAAAAAAAAAAAAAGGCCAGCATAAGCCAGAGAGGAACACTGAGAATATTTACATATCCAATGTTATCAACTGAAAAGCTGAATGTTGGTTGTGACAGCTTACCATGGCAAATGAGGCTCAAGTGAAAGTCCACGGTGCCTGACCAAGTTGGGCTATCAAATAAATAGTCCTAAAGGACTTACCCCGTGATAAGGATGAATACAATATTCTTGTACAGACTTGCAGTTAGCGGTCACATTACCTGGGCAAGAGATAGAACCTCAGGCTGTGAACATGGACTAAGGCAATCACAGACCGGTAGCTCCTCTAAGTGCCCAGCAAATCAAACCAAAATCTTCTAAGAAAAAAATTCTACCATCCTAGAACTCAAATTAGTCCTATGAGAACTGAAGACAATGCAGCTGCCAAAGTCTATGCCTTTCAACACCTATTCTAAAAGTAACTGAGAACAAAAAGAGCAAATAAAACTATTAAAGACCATGCCCTCACATGAAACAGACAATGCCCACATTTTAAAATGATTGCTCGTAAAAAGGAAGGAAGGAAGGGAGGGAGGAAGGGAGGGAGGGAGGAAGGAAGTCAGGCACGCAAGTTAAATAAATCCCAGAGAAAAGGAGCTATTATATTCGCATCCCACTTATTACCTTTGAGATAAGTCAGGGCAAGCTGAGAAAAATAGAGGGGAAGAGAGAAAAGGGGAACTAGTGAGGTATTAAAGTTGATCTAAAATCACCACTAGAAAGAGTAAGTGCCATTAGTGTGAAAGTACTACAAATATTCTAGGAGATGTGACTAGGCACAAGTAAGGGACAGCATGACCAATTAAAAGTGACAGTCAGTCCTCAAAAGGCATGGTTACAAGGGAAGAGAAAAAGATGAAAATTATGAAAGACATCCTTTGGCAACTGGGTGGGGAGGAGAAAAAAGCAAAAGAGAAAACTTAGAGTTCCATAAAATAAAGCAAACCTAAACACTTAGAGGATTTATAAAATCATTCCCTTCCCCACCTCACCAAAAAAAAATCCAAAAAACACAAAAAATTCCACTAAAAACTCTGCACTTTGCTGCACTAACAGAAGAGGGCACCAAGACAACCTACAAATTCTTCTGAACAACCAAAAACCCACAAAAAGTAACAGAAGAAAATAAAATAAAGCTACAGAGAATTATTGCTGCCCCCCACAAAATCAGGAAACCATTCAATACAGTTGAACTGATGAAAATATAACCCTTTTCCCTTTTCCTCAAAAAGAAAGTCAAGAAGGTTAACATAATACTTCAAGACTAAATTAAATACACTAAAACAAGCATTTGGGGGTATAAATAACTGCTTGAGTCAGAAACTCAAAAATTAAGACAAAAATGTATGGAAAACAGGAAGAAATGAAAACAGAGTTGATTGAACAAAGGAAAGAAAGAAAAGAAGTTTATCTCAGAATGGAAGTCTAAATTATGAAGTACACAGGAAAGAAAGGCCTCAGTGAAGATTTAATCAGGGCATTGAAGAAAAGCAGGAAGACAAACAAGGTAAGAACGATGAGGTGAAGAAAGAAGAGTCAGAGAGAAAGTGGTGGAAACGGAAGCCATGCAAAGAAGGAATAACATGTATATAATTTGAAGTCCCTGAAAGAGGAGAAACAGAACACAAGAGCAGAACTATTGTGCACTAGATAAAATAAGTACTTGAGAAAATACACCTGAGAGGACAAAACACAAGACATATGTTGGTAAACACTACCAGACCTAAAAGATGAAGAGGAAAAAAATCCCCTAGGCCTCCAGGCAAAATGATCCAATTAATTAGAAAGGCAAAGAAATTAGACTAGCATCAGACTCTTCAAAACAACATACAAAACAGGGCAATAATGGAGCTATATTTTCAAACAATTCAATAATAATAAATTTTTTTCAAAAAACAAAGAAAAAGTTATGAACCAAGAATTTTATACCCAGCAACACTGGCTTTTGCATATCAGGTTTATAGAAAAAGCTGTAAACATACAAGAACATGGGGAATTTCACATTAAAGAGCTCTTTTTGAAGAATTCACCAAAGCATCTTATTCAAGCAAAAGATAACCCAGCACACATTAATGATGACTAACACATTAATGTATAAAATTATAGATTTGAGACTAAAAGAAAGCAGAAATAATGGAACAAGAAATGGAAGGAGAGGGAGTAGAAGTGAAAAGTGAAATACACACATTGGTTACTGTATACAAGATAGGTAATAGTTAAAGACCACCTTTCAAACAAACTAGTAAGTTAATCAAGAAAACAGTGAAATGAGAGCTTTAAAAAGATGTAAATACAAAAGTTACCATTAAAACAAAACTATGAACCTTTCAGAAAGGCAAAAAATAATTTAAAAGCAAAAAACAAAATAGGAGGGAGGAGCAACAGGAGATTGAAGAAAAGAATAGCAGCAACTCTCCAAACAGAAAACCGACCACTTTCTGGAAGGTAGGACATGCAGAGAAGTGAATCCAAGGTGCTACACGGGAGGATAGATGGCTGGGGAGGGGGCCTCCACTGGCCGCTACTGGCAAATGATAGAGCAGTGGAGCACAAAATCGGAATTTTAGAAGTCGGCTCTGCTGAGGGACGTCGCTCCAGTGGCTAAGCGGGGGGTGGAACCGTCACTGGGGCACTGTGGTCTCAGGACCCTCGGGGTCACAGAGAGACCAGCGGTGCCTGAGTGCGGCAGAGCTCCCAGGTATCAGAGCAGGGAAGCCGCTGCAGAGACGGAGCCGAGGAGTGAGCTCTCAGCTCGGGGTTGCCATAAACCATGATCCGCAGCACAGCTGGGCCACTGCTCCTCCAGCAGGGACCCAAGAAGCGGCAGATCCAGGGACACTCCCCTTCCTCCCCCAGGAGGAGCGGCACGGTAGCGCAACGCAGAGATCTGCTGGGTTTGGAGACTCCACACAGGGTCGGGTGCCAGACAAAGAAACGCTCAGTCACAGGCCGGATGGGTGAGCACAGAGTGTGGCCGGAGACCGGGGAGACAGGAGTGACTGGCTGCTTTTCTCTGGTGGCTCACTGAGGAGTGGGGCTCCGAGTTCTCAGCTCCTCTGAGGCAGAGATTGGGAAGCCGCCATTTTCACTCCCATCCTCCAAAGCTGTACGGAAAGCTTGCAGGGAACAAAAGCTCCTGAGAGCAAACCCAAGCAGATTACTTACCCCGGACCCAGTAAGGGTGGGGCAATTCCGCCTCTAGCAAAGACATTTGGGAACCATGGCAACAGGCCCCTCCCCCAGAAGATCAGCAAGAACAGCCAGCCAAGACCAAGTTTACCAAAGAATGAGAACGGCAGAACTCAAGCACTAGGGGAATACTGCACATAGAATTCATGGCTTTTTCCCCATGATTCTCTAGTCTTTCAAAGTTAATTTTTTTTTAACATTCTTTTTTTTTTTTTTCAATTTTTCTTTTTCCCTTTTTCAACCAACATCTTATCAATCACTTGTTTACAAAATATTTTTATTTCTCATTTTAGAGTCATATTCTATCCCTTCATGGTAGTTAACCTTATTTATATATATATATATATAAGTTGTTCTCTCTTTAAAAAATTGGGATAGTTTCTTCTAACAGCCCAAAATATACCCTAAATCTCTAGTGCATGCCTTTGTTCTAGTCTCCTGCCTGATCACATTCTCTCCCTTTTTTTTTAAAATCCTCTTCTTTCTTTTTTCAACAAAATTCTTATCTTATCAATTCCTTTTATAAAATCATTTATAATTTTCATCTTTATAGTCATATTCCATCCCTTCATCATACTAACCATTATTTTTGTACATATAGAAGATTTTCTTTCTTCAAAATTTTGGAAGGCACTTTCTTCCAACAGACCAACTGCCTTCGGCTCAGGTCATGATCCCAGGGTCCTGGGATCAAGTCCTGCCTCGGGCTCCCTGCTCCTTGGGAGCCTTCTTCTGTCTCGCTCGCTCTCTCTGTCTCTCATGAATAAATAAATAAAAATAAATAAAAA